CTAACTATTTCTTCCCCAGACAAGGTGATCCACGAGCGAAAGGAGTCCCTTAAAGACAAACGGGAATTTGAAAAGATCCAGGAGAAGAGACATTTGGACTTCTTGGACATTCTGCTGTGTGCCGAAGTGAGTGGCAAGGAGTGACGTTGGTAGCCTCTGTTGGGGAACACAACCCACACAGGGGTTTCATAGTTATGCTGGTTTAATACGGGGAGGGATAAAGGGATTTACAAGCAAAGGAAAAGAGGCCCTGAATTCAGTCTCAACAGAGATTGATTTTGTTTATACGTAGCCTAGGGGCATTACCACCCCCCTTTGCAATAGCTGAAAGAATATAATGTCCCCTTCTGGGATACTATATTTCATATATAGATATATGGGCCACTATAATAAATATGGGGTTTATATATACGGGCCACTGAAAATGTCTCTGGGCTGTTAGGATGAAAACGGAGCTGGACTGTCCGATGAGGACCTGCGTGCAGAGGTGGACACGTTCATGTTTGAGGGCCACGATACGACGGCCAGCGGGATCTCCTGGCTCTTTTACTGCCTGGCATCACACCCCGAGCATCAGGCACGGTGCCGGGAGGAGATCCAGGGGATCCTGGGGGACCGGGAGATGCTTCAGTGGTAAGATTGTATTTCCTCAGCTGGTAACTTTTTGTCCTATCGCTGGTATTTCTAAATGAGCAATGTCTTCAAGGCTCAAAAGTTGGAGTGCTAAAGGACTGATCTGTAAGGCTGCTGCATGCACAGGGACTTCACAGGATGGAGCAGATACCGCATCCTTTAGCTAAATCTGCCTTCCTGCCCTTCAGGGCTCCTATTGCCAGGGCAGACATGAGAAAAAACCATCCCAGACCAGGAGGACATGCTGGATGCCGTGTCAAGACTGGGGCCACCAACACTGCCCTTTGCTCTCTCCTGTTTTCTCGCCACAGGCGTTGTAGTTGCGGCTCTTCATCTTTCACTGTCACTTTGCACTTGAGCTTGTTCAGAGGTTGTTCGGGTTGTTCAGAGGTGCCTTGGGGTTCCCAGCTTGTGGTGGGTTCCTCCGTACGCCCCATCTGTTGCAAGGGGGTTTGCCCAGGGGGCTGATGGCCATGGGGCAAGGGGCCTCCTGGCACAGGGCCGTGGGGGGAGCGTGTGGCTCAGCCTGCCTCTGTCCCGGCAGGGAGGACCTGGGCAAGATGAGTTACAGCACCATGTGCATCAAGGAGAGCCTTCGCCTTTACCCACCAGTGCCTGGCGTGTCCCGGCAGCTCAGCAAACCCATCACCTTCCCTGATGGACGCACCTTGCCAGAAGGTCTGTAAATCCTGTTCTCCTTCACAAAAGTGTGCTCTTGGACAGCTTGCTGCCTGCCACAGATCAAAGGCGACAGCCCTGCCTCTGTGCCCTGGTCCTCATCCACAGAGGCATTCAGATAGGACTGTGCAGATGCTGGCATCCCATTGACAGACGGAGGTCTGGGCTGTACAGCGGCATCCCCATGACATCCTTCCTGCCACCACTGCTTTGGGGCAGCCGTGCCTGTGCCCAAAGCCCCTTCTCTTCCTGGCCAAGCACAAGCCCATGGTTCACCCATTTTGGCAAACTGCAGGCGCAGGGGGATGGGAGCCAGTCCCATCCTGACTTGTGGCATGGGAATTGCCCTGTGTGGCTGCTTTCCTTCTCTGATTTAGCACACAAGCAGGCAATGTTGGTGGGGGGATGATGTGCCTGTGGTGCCGGTGCCTTCCTCATTTCCACTGTTTGGCTGCTTACAACTAAACAAATGGAAAATGTTTAGTTTCTCTGAAGCCAATGACAAAACCCTCATTGGTTTCCAGTTGACAGATAAGACCATGACGATTTAGACAGACCTTTGTGTGAGCAGGCTGCAACTTCTCCTTTAATTTCTGTGTCACTGAGTTCTTTTCTCATTCTCAATTGCTTTACAGGCAGCATTGCTGCGATAAGCATTTATCTCATTCACAGAAACCCCATGGTATGGAAAGACCCTTTGGTAAGTTTTCTTTTGTCCTTCTAATAATTTTTTCCCCTTTACACTGTGCCTCTTCGAATGCCCTCTTCATCTGTTAGCAGGAGAGCAGAGCCCCCCTCTTGCTGCCGAGCGTCTTTGGCCATGGGAATCATGCTGGGATGTGACCGCCTTGCATTAGTCTCAGTCAGCTGCTGCACAGGGCGGTCAGACCGCAGCGTTAGGGCTGGGTGCTGCCCAAACAGTAAGACAAAGTGCTCCGAAGAGCTTCTTGTATTGACAGGCCAAAGGGTGATTTTTTGCTCAGCCTACAGGTAGAGAATTGAATCCCAGCTCCCCGGTTTTCATCATATCTATGTCTTGGCCACACCATTGCAGGGCTCAGTGGAAGGCAAGGGAGCCTGGTGTATGAGTTGCAGTCTGTCTCAAAAGGAATTCTCTCCCCAATGGGGTTGTTGAGAAATTACGGGATGTCGCATTTCTGAAGATACCACTCAGCACCGTGTTCCTTAAATAATTGCTTTTTCTTGCCACGTATTCTTCATTTCCAGGTGTTTGACCCTTTGCGGTTTTCCCCGGAGAATGTCTCTGGCAGACACTCTCACGCCTTTCTGCCTTTTTCTGCTGGAATGAGGTAAAGTGTACTGAACGCTGAAGGAGTAGTGGGGAGAGGAAACACGCATCCCTGGAAACTGCGCAGCCCGGGAAGTGTGTGCTGCTGTTGTCGTTGCTGTCGGGGAAGCGCTCGCAGAGCGCTTTCAGAGACCGCCGCCTGACGACCTGGTCCTGTAGTGTTAAATAGTTCATGAGCACATAGCAAGCGTTTGTGCCACAGAGGGGTTGTGATACCAGCAGGCAAATGGGAAGGAAACATCGCTTGGGGGATGGGGAACAGGGTCCCAAAGGTGCTCAGCAGCCTGGTGGCATCATGCGGGGAGCCTGCAGCATCCTGGGCTCGCCTGCTCTCCTCCTCTCCTTGATGCAGAGAACCCATCCCACCCCCTCATCCTTTGATTCCCCCTTGTTCCCTCCTCCCAGTCCTTCTCTTCACCCTGTGCTCACCCCAACAAGGCAAATTCGTTGCAGACCCTCCTGCTTGGAGACCCACTGCCTTGGCTCTGCTGGCTTCCCCATCTCCCCTCCCTCTCATTGAACACACATCCAGGAGCTCCTCTCCCCCAATACTGCCCCAGATTCCCCCTGCTCAGCCCATGCCCCTGCTTTTGCCACCCAAAATGCTGCCTGGGACACCCAGATCTGCAGAGGGGAAGGGTTTTGTTTTGTTGTGAGAGATCTGAGATCCAGCGATGGGGGTTTATCTGTGCCCAGCACTGGGATCGGGTGGCTGAGCTGCTTGGTTTTACCCCAGGAACTGCATCGGACAGCAGTTTGCCATGAATGAGATGAAGGTGGCACTGGCCCTGACCCTGCTCCGCTTCGAGCTCTCGCCCGATCCCACCAAGACTCCCTGCAAAATACCTCAGATCATCCTTCGCTCCAAGAATGGGATTCACCTGTGTCTAAAGAAAATCCGCTGATGCTGGAAAACATCCTGCCTTCGCCAGAGGGAGGGACCAAGCAGATGACAGGACAATGTTTCTCTGGGGCAAAAGATGCAGGGCAGGATTTGGGGATGAGGATTCCTGATTTATGTGCTGCTTCCACCAGCTGAAAGCCCTTTTTGGCCTGGGCCCAGGTAGCCTGGATCTCGGAGCAGCCAGGCACGGCCATGCCTCTTTGCTGGCTTTCCCCTTGGCTCACCGCGGAGCCCAGCCGAAGCTGCCGTGAGGGCTGTCCTCCCATTGCAAGGGGCCTGGGAACATCTGCAGGTTCCCCCAGCTTCCTCCTTACCAAATCCTGCCTCCGCCCTCATGTCCTGGCCGAACCCATGACGATTCCCAGCCCTGCTCTGTCGCCAGCACCTTCCTCAGTGCCTAGAGGTCAGCCCTCCTCTCCTGCAGCAGGGACAGCCCCTGGCAGACCTCTTCTCACACTCAGTGTGTCTCTGTTTTGTTGAAAGCACTGATTCCAGTTTGGGCTCTGAAACTCTGCCTAAACTGCATAATATTCTGTAATTTTTATGTTAATAAACCAATAATTATTCCTGTAACAGCAGCTGTGTTGGTTTTCATTGCTTGCCCGCTTCATCACAAACACAGTGTAAAACCCCTTTAGAAATGGGAGATGGAGAGGCAACCCATGAGCAGTAAGAGACAACCCTGGGTCTCCAACCGCAGCCAGCACAGCATCTCCTTCCGTGGGCAGCCCCGTAACAGGGATCCAACGTGCAATCTTTGTTTAAAGCTGCACAGGAGGAGTTCTGATAGTTAGAAAGGTTGTTTTCTCTTTTTTTTTTTTTTTTTTTTTTTTTTTTTTTTATTTTCCTAAGCTGATAAAGTTGTGAGAGTTGTATGCTTGAGGTACACTGGAGAACACCAGCGAGCTGTCCTCTGCCTCTGCAGGAATCATTACTGGGGTCGAAAGTGTCAAATTGGGAAATCCCAACTGCTGCTGTTGCAATTAGCGTCACGGTGATGTCAGCTGCAGTCCCAGCGTCGTGAGCAGGCTGCTGTGCAGTAAGACAGCGGCTGACTTCATACTGCTCTCGTCTGCAGAGATAAGGCAGATAGAAAGCAGCGGGGGAAACAGGAGGACCTTTATTTGGGAAACACTGTGCTACTCTATCAACACCGCGAGCCCAGTCACTGGTGAGCCCCATTAATGGAAGGTTCTATCAAACGAGGTTTTGTCCAGTTTTAATTTTAACTACATGAAGGGTGCCCATAATACAAATAACCTGTGTCATCTCTCACCCTGAGCATATTACCCACCCACTGCAAATGTCACACCAAAGGTGTCCTCAGGACAGCTGAAAACTGAGAAGCTGCAACCAGGACTTTTCAGAGGTAAAGTCTCCAGGAAGATAAATATTTACTGAAGAAAAAAACAGAAACTTGTTGAACCCCACGCTATAATCTGAATTATGCTGCCTCTACTCCCTTCCTTTGTAATGGATTCCACCAAAAGAACAAATCTGAACTTACAATGAGAAAGATATATTTTGAAAATACTTTTAAGCTGATGCGTAAAGGCCGCGCTTGTCAAATGGCAGCTCGATCGGTGTGCAGTCTTGGAAGTTGCTCCCACTTACATACATAAGGATCAGGACTCTAGAAAGTAAAATGAAAATAAGATTTCTCAGTAAATGTGCTTTTCCATGTGCTTTTTCATCTCTATTTCCCGCCCTTCGACAATGTTGGCTTTCCACCTATGCCAGGAAAACTGAATCCCAGTTCAATTTATTTCTGCTTCTGAGTTAATCAAATTTATTTTGGCCTGAGCCAGCTCCTCTCAAAGAAGTGGGTATGTCAGCACGAGGGTACAGCACCCACTTTGCAGGGGATGCTCACCGCGGCTGGCAGCCGC